TTGAATTAGGGTTAGTAACATGCAGTTACTGTATGTTTAATTCAGTGTAAACTTTAATAAATGGATGAAACGTGTAACTTGGTCACCTGAAATGAAAGAGTTACCAAAAATAACATATATATATTTCTTTTTTTTTTTTTTCAGGAATGCCAGTAAAACATTGTCCGAACGTATTGTTTGCTAAATATGTTATTTTTGGTAACTCTTTCATTTCAGGTGACCAAGTTACACGTTTCATCCATTTATTAAAGTTTACACTGAATTAAACATACAGTAACTGCATGTTACTAACCCTAATTCAAGTCAATATTCTAACCTAAGCAATACAGTAAGTACATTTAACTAATAAATATTACTCAATAGTTAAATAAATAGTTACACTTGAACTTGGTCACCTTAAAATACAGTGTAATCCTATGTTAATTTTGCTCCAGGAATTAAAATATGATTTGGAATTGACAACTAGTGTGAGTCACGTAATACCAGCACAATTTTAATTCCCTTATCCGTTATCCCTGCGTCTGAACGGTCAAAAACACAAAACAGTTGTCAAAATGTACATCTTGTGGACTATCTCACATGAATTCAGTTGGATATGGCTAACTGTAAGTAAACGTAAGGCATGCAAGATGCCAAGATAATGCCATGAGATTGGCTGATACAATTGTTGGATTAAAGTTAAGAAGTTATATAAGAAGGTGTACATGATTAGGTTACAGGTAAAGGTAAAACTTTAACATAAGGTTGTAATAGCTAATGTTAATGTATATACTAAGATGAACAAACAATGTACAATACATTTATTACAGTATTTATTCACCTTTGTTAACATTAGTTTATAAAAAATAAAGTTGTAAATTATTAATTCAGGCTAACACGCAGTGCATTAACTAATGTTAACCAGAATTTAATTAAAGGACTGAATGAATTTGGACTTTAATAATGCATTAGTAAATGTTAAACTATAATTAACGAATGCTGGGCTAGTATTGCTCATTATTAATTAACTAAAATAAACAAATAAACCATATTGAAGTGTATAAACATCATGAAACACTGCAGAAAAAAAAAACAGGATGTCTAAAATGACAACATGTCAATGTCTGACCTTAAATTTCAGAAGAAAAACAATAAATGTGTTTCCGTTGGGTCCAGTGTAAGCTCTGCGGCAGTGTGTGACATTTCAATCCACCCAAAACTTGTCTTGAAATCATTGTTATATTAACTTTCTGTGGTGGCATACAGTATATTGGGCTGTAAACATCCCCATTAAGTTCTCTCTCATATGCCACTAATTCATCCCAGTGGGCTTAAAGAAACTGAATGCTGATTAACTATGTGGAAACCAACTTATTCAGTGCCTGTTGTGCAGTGTTGGTTTTCGGAAAACTGAGTGATTGCATTGCTGATGAAGTTTCATAATGTGGTTTAACCGATCATAAAATCTTTTAATAAAGCTGTATGTCAGAGTTAGAGAAGAAAGAAATGTATCAGAGATGTTTGGTCGGGCCAAAACAACATTAGATTGTACTAGAGTTATTAGGGTTTTATGTGTTGTAGGCTGCGGCACTCTGAAGCCAATCAAGCTTGGATCATTAACTTTTCTTGAGTGGTTTTAATTTACAACTCATTTGTCACTTAGCTGACATTTTTATTTATTTAAGTCGTCCTTAAGTTGTCTAAAAGGTCATCAGTTCGTCCTTATACCTTATAATACGAAAACACATTTAATTAAAAAACCAAAAGGAAGATTATTAGTGAACGATGACTTAAATAAATCAAATGCATTGACCCAAACTGGCTTTATAAGTGAATAACGAGTTATATTTTCTGACATTCATTCATAGTGAAAGAATGAACTATTTTAAAAAGCTTTTCAGGTTGTACTTCTATTCCTGGATCATAGCTGCCACGGAAATTCCACAAACTATTAAACATTTTCTTCAAAGGAAGAAACAGTCATACAATTTAGGAACAAGAAGGATGACAGAAATTACATCTTTGGGTGTGCTGTAATTTTAAAGTGCCCTTATTATGCCTTTTTACCTATTATTTGTCATGCAGTGTGTAATGTAGCTGTTAGTGAATGTAAAAGGTCTGCAAAGTTCCAAAGTGCACAATGGATGGAGTTTTTGGCTCCTGAAAAGAAAGAGCTGATTTCGGAAATGACTGAGTAATTTCAGTCTCCCTGCACCAATCTATGTAGGTTTGCAACACATTTGCATAATGCCAGCCTATGGTCTTCATTGGCGGCCAGCAAACAACATCTAATTTAGCCCTCAAACACTAGCTGTAGCTCAGACATTGTGCTTGTACGTCCTGAAGATGCTGTTTTCTGCTCCATGAAGACATTCTGTGAGCAGTAGACCAATGGACTAAGATATTCCTGACCAATCACAGCAGAGGATAGAGGTTTAGAAGGAATTGGATTCAATCATTTTAGACACTGTGAAGCAAAATGAGAGCTAATGCTGCTATGTATATTATGTGAACTATAGATATTGGCAATAATTGCAAGTCGTAAACTGATATAATGTGTGTGATAATGAACTTACCAGTGGCATTTGATGGACACTTGTTGTATACTGTCTCTCCAGCTGAAGCTCTCTTCCACGTCATGGCTACTTGGTACTCATCTTTACATATTTCATGAGGCGCTGCACACGGTATGTATCAGAAGTAAGAGATTAAACAGCACAAAATGATAGGACAGATACAAATTGGGATTAAATACAACTGTTGAATTACTGCAGACAAACAAGCAAATTTAGCCAATCTTCGCAATGAAATGTCTAACTAACTAACTAACTAACTAACTAACTAACTAACTAACTAACTAACTAACTAACTAACTAACTAACTAACTAACTAACTAACTAACTAATTAATCAAAATAAATACATAAATAAATAAATAAACAAACACACAAGCAATATTATTTTTCAGTAAAATTAATAAAATATACACTTTTTTAGTATTTTCATAAACAAATAATTCTAATTGTCTTCTAGCAAACTATGAATAAGTTCTACTACTTGTTATACTCATAAATAAACATTTTAATCAGTATTTGAGTCTGTTTTTCTTTAATGTGCATCAAATTTATTCAATTTTGTATTTCAATAACCGAACAAATACAAAAAGGATGTGAAAAGTAATTTAAAAAAATATATACTTAAGTAAAAGTACAAGTGCTGAGTAAATTTTTTTAAAATTCTGAATATGATTTCTGTGAAATAATAAATAAATTTAATTCATTCATTAATTTTTTGTCTGTTTTATAGTGTTTTGAATCTCTGTGTATACAGTGGGAGAGATAAGCATTTAACGTCACCATTGTTCTCAGAAAACATATTTCAAAAGGTGCTGTTGACTTGAAATGTTCAACAGATGTTGTTACCAACCAAATAAATCCATATATGCAAAGAAAACAATATTAATTACAAATGAAGTTATGTGCAATAAAACGAAATGACACATGGAAAAAGTATTGAACACATGAAGGGAGGAAGGTGTTAAAAAACCCAGACAGCAGCTGAAATCTCTTAGTAGTTTTTCAGAAACCCTCGCCCTTTCTCATTGTAAATTAACATAAGCTGCTTCAGTTCTACATTATCAGGATGATGAAGATGATACCAGGGTGGACATTTCAGCCAGACAATGATCCAAAACACAGCCAAGGAAACTTTCAAATGGTTTTAGAGAAAGAAAATTAAGCTGTGGAATGGCCCAGCCAATGACCTGACCAAAATCCAATGGAAATTACAAAATAAAGCTTCAATAAACAATTTCATTGTTATTACACATAGCATTTTTTTTATTTATTTATTTTTGTTGCTTTTTTCATTTGTTTTTATTGTCTGGGTTTTTACCAAAATCTGGTTCAATTTCATGTCAACAGCTCCTTTAAAAATATTTTTTTTCCAGAAAAAAAATAATAATAATGTGTTGAATACTTTTCCCCTCACTGTATATTGCAAATCAACCAACTACCCAATCAACCAATCAGATTTCTTTCCATTAAAGTCTACATATCATTAAATATAATATTATTTATATATATTTAAAATATATATGTTATCAGAAAATCTTAAACAAATAGGATTTTACACTCTTGATCTTGAATAAAGTCGATTTTTTATCCTACTAAATAACATTTTCAGTATATGTGTTTTCAGTATATTCAGTAACAAAAAAAGAGACAACAATACTGATTAAGATTTCATTTTCCCCTCATCTCCTTTATTTTCCCTGTGTACAAGCAAACTCTATTAAGATCAGCGTGAGCAAAACCACACATTTCTCTCCAGCTCTCATTTAAAAGCTTCATTAGACCAGCGAGAAACCCAGGGGTGAGAATCAGATCCTGAAGGGGAACTCAGTTGAAAGCTGAAGGAGATAGATTAGAAAGCTCTACCTTTACATCTAAACATAATACACCCCGACAAAGCTATTGGACAGATTTTTGTCTTGGAGTTTCTGCCGCTATCAAAGCCCTGCGCCCAATATAAGCTCTGCGGCAGTGTCTGACATTTATTTAATCTATAGCCTCCCAAAGCTGCAGTCAACGGCGTGCTTATTAAAATCTGCTGTTTGCTGCGCTGCTTGACATGCTGACAAATCACACATAGCAGCACTTTGAACAATTCCCTTCTGTCAAGAGTGACCCGTCTCAATTGAAAGAGAGGACAAATGGAAACAAAGGAGTAGAGAGAATGTTAAATATGGGAGAGGACAGAGAAAAGCAGTGAGATAGGCCTGGAGGAAGAAAGGCTGAATGAAGATAAAGGTAAAATAAAAAGGACAGGAAAGCAATTGACACTTGACAAGTAGGGTACAAACAGGGTCTAATAAATCAAGTCGAATGAATTTCTTTTCATTTTTAAAGAAACATTCACTGAAATATTTTTATTGTCAAGTTCATAAGATCACACTAAATTTTAACTCATTTAATCCCTTTTTTATTTGAGAATAAGCATTTTGCTCTTTAGACTGCCCTAAAACACACATTTTTACTCCTCCTTTAATGTTATGTTGGTTAAATTGGGTTCTATACTTGGTCACAATAGTGACTGGTGGAAAATGGATAGTCAGAAATGCACTGCACTTAAATTGTTTTCAATTGTCTGGCAACAATTGTGGCATTTAGCACATTTTCACCTCTTACATCTCTTAGATGTGAATGCAGGAAGAATGTCAACATATCTGGCCATGTGGCATTGAAACAATTTAATCAAAACAATCTATTTTTATGCCAGGATTCAGGCGATTTCGCCTCACCTCCAAAACGCGGTCAGCTGCACTAAATGAGCGTTCGTTCTCACCGCTTGTTGCTGGAATGCACATTTTACAGAATGTGCTTAAATAATATAAAGCAAAAATTATTAATAATTAATCTCATCAAACCACAATTAATTATATTGTATATGTTTATTACCCGACCCGCCTGACTAGAGGATTATCCGCAGCGCTTGTGGATTTAATAGCCATCCGCACATCACTATTACACACACTATTCAGTATAGTTACATGCCCCATGTTGTTATACCAGTAAAACCAGCCTGATCTCACAAGGAAACATAACTATTTTACGTTTTGTCAGTTTAGTGACTGATTTGTACGAGTTCACTCGTACAAAACTACGATTTTAAAAAGTAGGCGTAGCACCCAACCCCACCTCCAAAAACCCAACCGTCATTGGATAATTAACAAATCATGCTAAATTGTATAAATGAGATTTTACAAATTCGCCAGTAAATCAAAAAGTTACAAATTGTCGTGCGTGTGTTGGTAATAGCCATGTAGATACAGTTAAAGATAAAGGGGCTAATAATTTTGACCTTAAAATGGTTTTATAAAAAATAAAAAACTGCTTTTATTTTAGCTAAAATAAAACAAATAAGACTTTCTCCAGAAGAAAAAAACATTATTATTTTACAACTCTCATCCAGCAAATTGAGTTTTACCATTTTTTAATCTATTCAGCCAGTCTCTATGTCTGGCGGGAACACTTTTTGTTAGCTTAGCATAAATCACTGGATCGGCTTAGACCATAAGCATCTCGACCAAAAATTTTAGAAGAGTTTAGATTAGTTTCCTATTTAAAGCTTGACTTGTCTGTATTTATTGTGTACTAAATAAAATGTTTCTATTTTCTAGGCTGATTTGGCAAGGAACTATACTCTTATTGTGACAGAACAATCAATGAACATTGCTGCCATACCATGGCTGCAGCAGAAGCTGTTACCTAGTTACCAAGCTGGCGACTATTTTCATGAAATGCATTAACTACAGAAGAGCCAAACTTTAAATAGGACAATGATCAAAACTTTATTTCAAAAGATTTAAATGAGATGCTAATGGTCTAATCCGATTACATTATTTATGCTAAGCTAAATGTCCTCCTGCAAGATTCAGAGATCTGCTAAATGGATTCAAAATAATAAAACTAAACCTGTATAACTAGGGCAATTGTAAAACGAGCCGATTTCAATATAAAATTGGAGTGTCCAATTAATGTAAAGTGGGACCCATATATATATTTTGTCTTTATAAAGGTATCAATCAGGCTGTAATCTGAAATAAATTATTATAGCTTTTTAGGAGGGATTTTCAAAAACATTGGAAGGATGAATGCTAATGAATGACTGAACATAAATAAATAAACAAGGGAATGAATCATTAAACAAACAAACAAACAGACAGACAAATAGAAATGCATGCCAGACACCATCACAAATATGCAATGGCTTGGAGAGTCTGCAAAACAAAAAAGAGTGCATGTTTTGATCATTGACACACACCTGGGCACTTCTTGTCATTGCAGGAGCGAACTTCCTCTCCAGAGCCATCGCATGGATAACCCTGGATCCCTGTGCCTTCACACATGCGGAAGCGCCGCTGCCAGCCCGAGTCACAGGTCTTCGAGCACAGGCTCCAGTGATTCCACGCACCCCAGTTCCCTCCACCTGCAAAGAGGAACAGGAGATAAATACGAGGAGGAGAAACAGCCAGAATACTGCAACGATTCGAGGAGGCTTATCAATGGCCATCCACACACTGGAGGATTGATTTAATAAGAGAACAATCTGTATCACAAATCTATTCAAAAGCAAATACAATTGAGATTTTGGTAACACTTTATTTTAATGTACAATTCACTCTCCTAATATGACTTTTACCTCAATAAACTACTAATTAGCTGCTTTCTAATAGTTTATAGGGCGAGGCAGTGGCGCAGTAGGTAGTGCTGTCGCCTCACAGCAAGAAGGTCGCTGGTTTGAACCTCAGCTCAGTTGGTGTTTCTGTGTGGAGTTTGTATGTTCTCCCTGCCTTCGCGTGGGTTTCCTCCGGGTGCTCCGGTTTCCCCCACTGTCCAAAGACATGAGGTACAGGTGAATTGGGTAGGCTAAATTGTCTGTAGTGTATGAGTGTGTATGAGTGTGTGTGTGGATGTTTCCCAGAGATGGGTTGCTGCTGGAAGGTCATCCGCTGCGTAAAAACTTGCTGGTTAAGTTGGCGGTTCATTCCGTTGTGGCGACCCCGGATTAATAAAGGGACTAAGCCGACAAGAAAATGAATGAATGAATAATAGTTTGTAAATTGGTGGTTGGGTTTAAATGTTGGGTTGGATTAGGTACGGTAAAATAAAATTAAATAAGATCATACTTTATAATTGCAAAACCAATAACAACAAAAACTGTTGTAATAGTAAAAGTGCTACCTAGGGATACTACTATTGGTACAATTGATATACAATGGTCACTTTATTAGGTACACCTTACTAGTACTAGGTTGGACACCCTTTTGTCTTCAGATCTGTCTTAATCCTTCGTGGCATAGATTCAACAAGGTACTAGACATATTCTTCAGAGATGTTGCTTCAAATTGAGATAATAGCAGCACGCATTTGCACGCTTTATGACATGACATGACAAGTTGTCCTGCTGGAAGTAGCCATCAGAGGATGGCTACACTGTGGTCAATAGAATGGACATGGTCATCAACAATACTTAAGTAGACTGTTGCATTGACACTATGCTCAATTGGTACTAATGAGCCCAAAGTGTACCAAGAAAATACCCCCCCACACCATTACACCACCAATCTGAACAAGGCAGGATGGATCCATGCTTTTTATGTTGTTTACACCAAATTCTGACCCTACCATCCGAATGTTGCAGCAATAATTGAGACTTATCAGATCAGGCAACAGTTTTCCAAATTTCTATTGTCCAAATTTAGTGATCCTGTGTGAATTGTAGACTCATTTTCTTGGAGTGGACAGGAGTGGCACCCGATGTGGCTTCTGCTGCAGTAGCCCATCTGCCTCAATGTTGGATGTGTTGTGCATTCAGAGATGCTCTTGAATGAATGAACAGCAGCAGATCATCTTGACAATGTCTACATGCCTAAATGCATTGAGTCCCTGCCGTGTGATTGGCTGACTGGAAATTTGTGTTAACGAGCAGCTGGACAGGTGTAGCTAATAAAATGGCCAGTGAGTGTGTATAACAAAATGCAACAAAAACCAAACAACTAACCTCAATGTTTGACTAAAATAAAGCAAATTAGTAAGATAACAGTAAATCAATGACACACTTTAAAATATATATTTTATGAAAGTCTACATTAACCAAAACCAGTTGTTTTAAGTGTAAGTATCAAACAAAAGACTTTCAAACATTTTTCTTTTTATGATTGTATATGTTATTTGTGATAATATAACTATACATGTTTGGCTGAAGGATGATGGACCATTCATTTGAATAAAAATGCTATTTAACTTTAAGGTGCAACGCTAAAAAGTGCCCTTTTTTAAAACATTAAAGTTGACACTTGCATTTAATTTAATTTCAATGTATATAAAATCATTCGGAAACATAATTTGATGCTAAAACCAAAATAGGGCATCTAAAATTTGACCCATTTACTAGTAATTTATGAGTGCAAATTGTTCATCTAACTTTCTCAAGTACCACCTGCATCAACTTTCTTTCAGTTTACACTGGTTAAATCAAGATTCATCCAGTTTGTTCCAAAAAAGTGAAGAAAAAAAAAATTCAGAAGTGAAGTGACAGCCATATTTAGCTGCAATGTGAGCATGGTCATAAAGCACCTGCACGAGGCTAATTTGCGCTTATTAATTATTATCAGGGGTGCGAACTGGCATATGCTGACACAGCAACGCATTTGTGGAGCAAGATGAGCAATGCAGGCCGCTACGTCTCTGTGGTTTGGTACCGCAGACAATTCAGAGCGTTCTCTGCAATTAATTAGACCATGACAGCAAACAAATTGCAGCTGTGCACATAAACTACCTGTCAATTTAAGACTGGAAGCCCACCAGAGAGACACTCACCCCCGCAAGATGGGTTGGTGCACTCACGAGTTTCCGCATGCGGCCCTTTACACTCAGCCCAGCCATGAACCGAAACGCTGCACCGCCGCTGCCGCTGTTGAGTCCCGGTGCCGCAGGAGACAGAGCACTGAGACCAGGTGGCCCAGTCCAACCATTGACCTTCCACTGCAAACACAACCACAGAGGCACGCAAAAAGAAAAAGAGAGAGAGAGATGCAAAGGTGAGAACAAAATATGACAGTGCAGATGTGGAGAAGGACAGGAAAGAGAAGGACATAGAAGTAAAGGACAGAAACAAACATAGGAAGCGGACGGTCGGAGGTGCAGACAGAGAGACGGGGTATACAGCAGGGCTCTGTGTTAGTCTGAAACTCAAAATTATCCTCACTTACCCTCATACAAACCTCAATCTGATACCGTTAGGAGATATGCAATGCATTTATTTCGCAATTACAAATGAAACCATCAGAATGAAACTTTAAAGAGTCATGAACGGAGATCTCATGTCTTACTTAAGCATTTGATATATAGAAGGTAATTGAACTTAGAGGTTACCATATAAGTGTCAAGGCCGAAAACATTCTTTTTAGTGAAATAACTGTTTTTATTGACATGGAAGTTCCTGGAACGTACATATCTATGATGTAATAGCTTCCACTGAAGGATATCAAAGCCTTATTCTGTAACTCTGCCCACTGACTTGCATAGAGCAAGGTCAGATTGACCCACATGCGCTTAGATCTTGGTGTGAACTGAAAAGGGAGTCGAATACAAGTTTACTATGCAAACTTCCAAGCTCCCAGAGTAGACCGGCCCAAAAAATGGCCTCAAATCCAGGAAAGCAGCATGTTTCTTAATGTTTTTGATGTTTTGCAAATAAAAACCATATCAACCTCATAAGTGGATCTTAGATGAAAGTAGAAAACAATACAAACAAGGCAGTTCATGACCCCTTAAAAATAAAAAATAAATAATTAAATAAAAACTTTTTAACAATAGATAGAACTATAGAACTGTAGATAGAACGATAGACAGACAGACAGACAGACATGATAGCTAGATAGATAGATACATAGATAGATAGATAGATAGATAGATAGATAGATAGATAGATAGATAGATAGATAGATAGATAGATAGATAGATAGATAGATAGATAATCCTTTCATCTCTTCTCTTTAAATTCCAATGCCATACACATATTTCACACGGCCGCCATTTTAAAACGCGAAAGCAAGGCAAACCCGGAAGTACAGGATCAGCACTGTAAACACTGCTGACTACAAACCTCCAGCTCTTGGCGTGATTTCAAAAATGCAGATATGGTGTAAACATCATTTTAATATCATTCAGTTAAGTATGATTTAAACAATTAAAAGCATATTAGACATTAAATAAAATCCCAATCACTTTAAGAGAGCCCTCCTCGGCTTCAGTTCATGGCACCAGGTAAACACCACAGGGGCTTCCTTGCTTTAGCCTATGTAACCCAGTGAGAAATAAAACAATGCAGTCATCTGTAGCACACCGTTTTGTTGTCTGCAGTAGTGTAGTATTCCCGGTACTGAAGTTTTAAAAACGTTCATTTCCCGCTAACATTTAAACACAGCTGATTTGACATAGTGTTCACCAGTGCACAACAGAAATGACTGTGATTGGCCATGAAGGCCATCAGTTCACCACTCTTCACTGAGTACAAACAGAGATACATGGACACTGGAGCGTTTAAAGTTGCAAAGATCCGTCAATTACTCATTTGTGTTTGTACTCGGTAAACATCGACGATGTGCGGTGAACTGATGGCCTTCACGGCCAATCACAGTGCACTGTTGAGCACTGGTGAATACTATGGCAAATCAGTGGTGTTGCGTTGAACAGCACTTAAATGTTAGTGGGGAAATTGCCATTTTTTTTCAGTACCGAAATTCAGTATCATGACAAGTCTAATTAAGTGAAAAAAAATCAATTCATTAACTAGAGTTTGATAAATTGCATCGAAAACGAGTGTTTGGGAAAGAAAACGTTGGCTAGCTAGTGCCATTTCTCTTAACTTAACTGAAAATGAGGACTGATATCCCTTATTATTTTCACCATTCATTCAGAACAGACTTTCGGTTCACTCGGAAGGCGGTGAAATTCTAAATTTGTGTCGCTTTCTCTTCGCCGCTAAGATATACAGCCAGGTAATGCAACATTCCTGTGTAACTCAGGTTATACTTCCAGGTTTCTTCCCACCAACCCTCGATTTTGCTTTTAAAATGGCAGCCACGTGAAATCAGTCTATTAGAATAAACCTTGACCTGCACATTGCAGTTGCCTCAAATAACATTCATTCCCATCCAAACAGTAGCCTAATGGCTTTCAGAGAAGATCAAATAAAAGACTCACTTAATTATGTAGAGATGAACTACCGAGACAAATGTAAAAGTTGAGGAATTTAAATAGAACACTGATAACATCAACGCCAACAGTTATGAGGAAAAACTCAGTTTGGCGATTATTTTACTTCAACTAATGCATAAAGCAAATATTCCAGCCTTTAATATCTCACAGGAAGAAAGAACAAAACAGTCGTTTTCCATGCATTAGAGAGCAGCATTACTCTTGTTACATTCATTTGATATAGCGCAGTCACAGTAGATATCAATATAGTTCATGCAAACAATGCAGGTTCAGTCGGTAATCATATCTCTCTGTCAAAGAAAAAACAATAGGAGATCATCTGCATAATGGATGAAAGCAGGGATCGATGTGCAGTGAATATTTCCCTGCTTGATGAATGAGATTCGTGTTTACTGGTAACGTTTTTGTGTCAATAAATAAAAAGTAGAGGGCAAGTCTCTTATGAAGTATCGTGTTGCCATTCTGAAACCCATCGCTTATGATTCATTACTAGTTTCTTCTCATAACCCAAGATCTTTTGCTGAACATTAGAAGGCCTGCATGCCTCGATGGACACATATTCAGCTTGTTGGAAAGTAAGAATTATGCTTAAACATCATCCATCAAACGCTGCCATTAATCTTACAGCTTTATGTTTATATAATGAATGCTTTCTAGTGTGCTCTATCTATTTCGCAGTAGGGGAGATGTTATGCCTTTTGACTTTCTGCAGCAATTTTGAGATCTGTGCATATTAACCTCTAATATCACTTTTATCTTATTTAAATGGAGGGGGGGGGTGCATATTTCATCCAAGCGTATCTGGGTTTGATTGATGGTATGAACTGAAATTAAATTATCTCTCAATCTAATGGCTTCCAAGGAAGACGGAGCACATGATGAAGGAAAATGCCCACGTCACCTTTGCTCTGTCAAAGCAGAAGCTCGTCAAACTAAGGAAAATGTAGCATATAATATTAATCACAAGGTAACCGTATGACTGCAGTTTAATAATAGTACTAAAGCAACTGCCAGACAGACGAACAGTTATATATTATAGAGATACACACGTGCACACACATACAATGACATACATAAATGCAAAAAAAATAAAAATAAATAATAAATAGACAGAAAGACTGCTACATAATCAGTAACTAATAAAAAAGCCATTTTATCAATTTCTAGAAATGTTATTTACTTTTATATCCATTATTATTATTATTATTATTATTATTATTATTATTATTATTATTGATAGTAATAATAATAATAATAATAATAATAATAATAATAATAATAATAATAATAATAATTAACTAATACCCTGTATTGAACTGTTCTACTTCCAAATATTTTATTAATAAAAATAATTTATTGTTTTGTTTAGGAATTCACAAGAGAATATTACAGATGTACAAT